CCCCTTTCCTTTCCCCTTTCCTTTCCCTTTTCCTTTCCCCTTTCCTTTCCCCTTTCCTTTCCCCTTTCCTTTCCTTTCCGTTCCTTCTTGTCTCTTTCCTCCTTCTGGTCCTCCCTCCTTTCCACCCACCCCCCAGGCAAGGATTTGATACCCCCTTCATTCTTTGTTCTGTTTTAAAATACTCTGCCTTGGGGAGGTGCCTGGATGGCTCAGTCAGTTAAGCATCTGAATTCAGCTCAGATCATGATTTCAAGGTTGATAGGTTTGAGCCCTGCATCGGGCTCTGTCCTGACAGCTAGGAGCCTGCTTGGGATTCTCTCTCTCCCTCTCTCCGTCCCTTTCCCACTCCCTCTTCTTCAGTACAAATAAACATTAATGGGAAAGCAGAGGTGGCTCCTGCTCCCGGGACACGCTCCCCACTTTCCAGCGCGTGCAGGCCCCTGCCCTGGGACCACCAGCCCCAGCCGCTGAGGAGAATGGAGGTCTCTCCACCCACGTTGCTCTCCTCTCACACCCACTGGACCTTTCTTGGAGGTCTGAGATATTTCTGGAGCATTTCTCACAGTTAGCAGTATATGATAGCCAACCAGCAGGTGCTGATGGCCCCAGAGGGCACATCGTTAGGATTTATGCTATCAAGACCTCAGTCCTCATAAACTTTATTTTCAAATATATCATTTCAAAGTCAAGTTATTCCAGAAAATCTGTCTGGGCTCCTGGAGACACGACAAGGTCTCTGCGGAGCATGAGAAGAAATGTGTTGTTTTTACAAGTCCCACGTCGGCCAGGGATGTTTCTTTTAAGGACAATAAATCTCAAGAGGGCCAATGACATTGAATCTGATAATGAGGGCTGACCTGTGCAGCCCGTCCTACATGTGAGGTGCTCTCCTAAGTACTTTAGTCTTAACACCAATCCTTGGAGGTAATTATCCCCATTTTACAGGTGAGGAAACAGAGGTGCAAAGAGGCCAAGGGCCTAGTCCAGAATTGCACAATGAGTTAGTGGCATGGCTGGGGTTAGAACGCAGGCTGTCTGGCTGGGGTCTGTGCCTGTAGGCCAGCACCCTGCCCCCACGGGGGGGTGCAAGAAGGGAGACCTCAGCTCCTACACGGTGCCCACACTCTCTCCACACCATGCACCTGGACAATGGCATGCCGCCTCAGTTTCCTTTCTGCTCCTCAAGCACACCCTACTTGTGCTGTCTGCCCCAGACCTGTCCTGGGGCGGGAGTGGGGAATCTCCTTCTCATCAGTTAGGGTTCAGGTTAAAATTCCTGTTGTGGGGGACCTGACCAGATAGCACCCTGTTGAAGCAATTCTGGAATCCAGCCCCAAGGCCAGTGCCGGGACCGGAGCAGATGCTTTTACAAATACTTAGTTCAATGAATGCATGGGATTGGGAGGGACACAGACAAGGTGTCCATTCTCTAGATGCCAACAATAAGAGATTGTTCTGGTCAGCTAGGACTTCTATAACAAAGTACCACACACTGAGTGGCTTCAGCCGGAGATTTATATCTCACTGCTCTGGAGGCCTGGAAGGCCACGACCAAGATGTTAATGTGGTCGCATTGTGGTGAGAGGTCTCCTGGTGGTGGTGGGGGTGGGGGGGGCTTCCAGTGTCTCTTAAACTTTAAAAAAATGTTTTTATTGTTGAGAGAGAGAGAGAGGACAAGCAGAGGATGGAGAGAGAGAGAGAGAGAGAGAAAGAGAGAGAGAGAGAGAGAGAGAGAGAGACTCCGAAGCAGGCTCTAGGCTCTGAGCTGTCAGCACGGAGCCCAGCGTGGGGCTAGAACTCAGGGACCGTGAGATCATGAATGACCTGAGCTGAAGTCGGACACCCAACTGACTGAGCCACCCAGGCTCCCCAGTTATGGTCCCTTTTATTGCTTCTCACAGGATATCGTTTGCATCTCGGAATTTTCTCTTGCTTTACACAGGGGTCTGATTCACAGAACCAGAACATGGTTGAATTTCAACAGGACATTTTATTTATTTATTTATTTATTTATTTATTTTGAATTTCAGCAGGACATTTTAATGAGGTGTGTGATTTACCAGGTTTCCACCCTATCACAAGTCTGCCATAGAGGGCACTCGTGACAATCTAATCTCTGTGGGGGCACCTCCAACCTCTTTTTCCCTCCTCTGCTTCACGCCAAGAGAGGACAAATAGATATTTTTAAATTAACTTATGTTCAGGAAATTTCCCCATAGGTGTCTCAGGAGGAGGCACACTCACCAGAAGCATGACCCATGTTTTGTGGCTTATTGTTTGTTTGCTTTAGTTAGTTTTTCAGCTTTGGATGAAGGGAATAAACTTGAACTCCATAGTGGCGCCTCAGAGCGTAACAAGGCGGCCACATGCGGCCAGGAGCCCTATCAAAGCAGGACCGATACCGCAAAGCTGGCAGGGGGTGGTGAACATCCCCAACACCCAGTAGAAGCACTTCACCATGCAGAGCGCTTGGCCATGCATTGTAAAAACGGGATCCCTTCACACCTGACAGAGGGGACATGTGACATAGATTTGGCCTGGGGAGAAGTGATGTCTGGTGCTTGGCTGAGCCTTTTGCCCAGATTGGTTCTGGGGCCTCATTTTGGTTGTGATTTTGCCTGTTCATCTTCCTATTGTTCTTGTGCTTTTTCTGAGTCCTGTTCTCCAGCCTTCTGATACATTAATTCTTGGCTTACATCAGCCAGAATCAGTTCGGTTTATGCACCAAATAGCTGAGATTGATACAGAGTGAAACGCTAATAAGGGTTAAGGCCAAGTACAAAATTGGGGCACTGTATTAGGGAATTGAACTTTCAAAGGGATAAACAAAGATGTTTGAAACTATTCATTGGGGGGTTCGGTGTCTCTTTGAAGTTTTCTTAGCTTTGATTCTTTTGACTCTTTTTCTTTTCGACTGCTTCTTTCTTCTCCCTCGTGGCCATGGCAGTGAGAAGACCAGCCCCCTCCCCTTTCCCACGCTAGGAGGTGAGCAGGATGGGATCCACATAAAGGGGGCAGGACCCCTTTGGAGACGTACCTCTGTCTCTATACTTGTCCAGGCTAGACAAAAAGAATCCTATGGGCTACATGTGGTCTGGCACAGGGCACCAAGATGGGGCCTCGAATTTGAACCCTTTTCTTCACAAGCAAGAGAGACTGGGAACTAATTTAAACA